ATGCCGTGTAGTCTGGTAGAAGTTTACTGATATTTCGGATAAAAACAGTGCCTCCATCTTGAGGGTTGAATTATGAGCTTACGTTGCATCCCTGAAGATGGAGGCAGTATAAATATGTGAAATATCGATAAAAGTCTACCAGATTTCACGGTGTCACATCCAAGAAGAGAGTATTTCGATATTATCTTGTCGGAGGCCGTGATGGTGATGCTGTAAGCTTGTATTTAGGTGAGTGAGGTTACTCGGGATTTATCTCAGTCCCTCCAGGCAAATTCCGTAAAGCCGCGTCCACATTACTCGTGCTCGTGTGACTCGCTATGCTCGCGAGTAATGTGGACGATATGACAAGTCATGGGACAAGCAATTTTTTTAATTTAAAAACTATAGCCAATAAATTAAAATACGACTACAGCCTATACACACTACGATTAAATATACGGATCCTCACGCGCCGAAGCCTGGCGAGCAACTGAAGTAGTGTGGACGAAGATTTACGAGCACAAGTAAAAGTCAGACGAGTCTCCCGAAGAGCACAAGCCTGGCGTGCACGAGTAATGTGGACGCGCCTTTACAGTACCGCGTTTAGAATCTTCTTTCAAGTCATCACTCCCTGATCGTCCTTGCAACGGTTCCTACACATTGTCCAGGCACCAACAGCGCAATGAGACTGCTCGTTATTGTTCGCTACTAGTCACCCTTATTTTTGATTTCCTTTCTTCCCTTCCTACTTACTTCGGTCTCCCTTATCCCTTCTTTTATCCATTCCTTTTTCCATCCCACTGTTACTTCCGCTTTCCTCACATGTAGCCCGGAGTTTTGCAACCGGCCACGACCATCTCAGGTTGCCGGGGTGCAGACACAATCTCAGCCAGTCAATACTTCATTTCCCCAGCGCAGCTTGCCTCACTCCCGCCCACGCCCCCGCCGCGGACCCCAAACTTTGTTTATGCAAGTAACAACTTCTTGCGGCTTCAATAAAGATTAGGACTTCGATTTGTGTGGCAGCGGAAACACGGCGGTGTCGGTAATGCAGATTCCTGTCTTTCAGGTCATCTTCCACTACCCCTACCCTCACGGACTCTGCTTCGCATGTGATTCCTTCGAAACGTCGGTATATGCCTACCAAACTGTAAGACATCACACCATAGAAGCCCGTGATTTCCTCAAACCTCACGTTTTATACATAGATGCGTATAAGGGGAGACGCGGTAGCGTAATTGCTTGAGGCACTATGCTACAAGTCGGAATATCGCGGATTCGACTCCCGATGAGGTCACTGGATTTTTCAATTCCAGCCGCACTGTGACCCTGGAGTCGACTCAGAAATGAATACCAGGAACCTTCCTGGGGTTAAAGGGCGGCCGGCGCGTAAGGCTGACAACCTTACTGTAATCTGTGAGCCGATTGTCTAGAAAATGTGGGAGCCTCGACGTCTCACAACCCTATGGGCCTCCAGGGCCTGTTTCAGGGATAGCTTCATCTTGTATACCAGACAAGTGCTATTTCAACAGAAGCACCAAGAGAGCTGATGTGGATTTGTGTTTTTGAGGCTCTCGGTTCGACCCTCGGCCGGACATTGGCTATTCTGACTTACCGGGGGAGGGTTACGTCACCCTTCGTTCCCTCCAGGTAAATGCCGGGATATACCCTCATTAGGCCAAAACCGTTCCCTTCCAAATCCTTTTCCAATTAATTAACCGATTGTCCTGCCATCCGAAGTTATATAATCAGTACACTGACAGCATTCAAAGCAGGGACATAAGCGACAGGCTCCAGATTCCGTGATAACTTCCCAAATTTTGTGTAAATCAATCCTGTAGGTAGGTCCCTCAGCACGCCGCTCATGAAATTCCATAGCTTTCATTTGTTTTACCAACCATCACTTATTCATGCCCCCAGCGAACCTATGGAACTGTTGTAGCTGCCACGAATAAAAAGCTAATGTGTTTAATGTCTGAGGATAGGACGGCTTGAATTAATTAAGAGCATAATATGGAAACGGGCTGGAATGGGGTGGGGGTAATTTTAAGTGCAGTACACAGTCCGCTCGCCCCTCTAAGTGCCGGGTAATCTCGGTATAAATGCCGTGTATTTTTCATTAGGTGCTCTGGGAGTTGGTAGCAGTTACCTGCCTGTTGTCCCTAGGGACCCGGAACTCTGCGCTCTTTGTAGGGCAGCCCGCTTCATGCGCGGACCTTCGCGTGCTGCTAAAACTGGCCACGTGACAGCGCATGTCTTTTTCTGCTCTTTGCGTCGGGCACCCCTCAGCTCAGACCCCACTTCATGAATTTGTGTGTATAAAGAACGTGATTTCGTTTTTCTCTTTTTGAAATCAACAAATTCTAAGACCTTATCAATTAATAATATTTATAAAGGGTTTACAATTACACTAAATTAAATATTCAGTATATGAAAATGGTACTTAACTGATTAAGCACTACACCATGAAGGCGTATGGGGGAATGGATATGTAGGTCCACATTTTCTTGACCTCGACAATAGTTGGAGATGGTGATGAGCTTCACGCTCCGGCCGCTTTGCCCCCCTGAGAAAGAGCCCCCGGTATCCATTGTATACGAGGTTGGGTGAACCCCAGTGCCAGTCTAGAGGACGTGGAGAAGAGATTTTAACTCCGACCTCTCGGTCGTTCAACTCGTAGGCAGTCGCTCTACCGACTGAGCTATCCTGGCTCCTTCGGCATATGTAATTTTGGGAATTAAAATCAATTCAGTTTTAGTATTTAACTGCCCCAAAACATTCCATGCTCCTTCTAACCAACTAGTCGCCCCCTCACAATTTGGACACCGTGGGCTAAGGCTTCGAAGCCTTCGATGTACATCCCCCTGTATCTAAAGGCAAGTCTTAGCTGTGTTAACCGACGCGTCTATAAGGCGTGGTCAACCTGTGGTTCGCGGACCAAATAAGGGTGCCTATTGGGCCGCGCCATAGCTCAAGCGGTTAGTCGCTGGCTTCCCACCGCGGCGGCCCTGGTTCGATCCCGGGTCTGGTCAAGTGGGAATTGTGGTGGACAAAGTGGCGTTGGCGAAGGTTTTCTCTGAGTACTTCGGTTTCCCCTGCCAATCTTCATTCCACCAATTGCTCCACAATCACCCTCACCTATCATCTGGGGCTGGTACAATAGGCCAGAAGTGGCCACAGTACAAGGAACGTAGTCCCACCCCACTAGCAATAAAAAAAAACAGAAGTTGAAAGAAATTTGGGAAGGGTCAGACTGAGATGGGCGGAAGATAGAGAGAATGATTTATGAGAGATGGGCGCACAATATAATGGACATCTTTTGTAACGGAGTCCAAGGTTCTTGGGGGGCTGCGGTGTTTTCTGTGTGGTCCGTATCGTGTCACATACTCAATATATAGTGAAAGGAAAGTAAGTGATTAGTTCTTCCCAGAAATTCTTGTTTTATTGGGCGATTCTACGACGTTTTCGCTGCTGCTCCCTGTGCAGCTCGAGCGGTAGGGTGAAGTGGAGGGAATCTGAGAGGAAGCATTAGTCTCCCGGAACTTGCCTATAGTGGCTGAGGAAAACCACGAAGTATCCAGTCAATATTTCCAGTGTCCTAGCCGAGATTCGAACGAAACTCCTCAGGAATATAAATGGAGATCGTTACGGCTGGATTTTTTTCAGTTCCTTACTTCAAATGAAGCCATGACCGTTTTCTTCCAGATCCTTTCCAATTCATTATTCATTAGCCCTAGCACTGGGCGCTATATCTGGAGCTACTGACGCGCCGTTAGGGGAGGCGTGAATAAAAATGAAATGTTTCAGTCATTTTGTTAATTCTGTTTGTGCGTGGCGGGAGATACCCGTGAATGGCGGAACAGATGTTACAGGAGGCGGGCAGTGAAACCTGCCACGGCTCTGCCGGTCTCGCAGCTGCGCGGCCCCAAATCAAAGTGCACTGACGTCACTCGCGTCGGCTGTCAGCAGGAGCTCATCTCCCGCCGCGACGTCATCCCGTGACTTTGTGGATCCTCCGTCGTTCCGTAATGGGAAGCGGGGGGGGGGGAGATATTCTTGCGGGGTATGGAAAGGGGGGCAACAGATACACAAAGAATTTTATTTTCTTCTCTTTTTAACCCGAATATAGGCGCCCCGTGTTTCTGTCAGCCCTCAGCGCGAGCCCGTCTGTGTGACGCTGCATGCCTGCCAACATGACAGACACACGCGGTTGGCAGCAGTGCGGATGTATCATCTTGTTTCGATTGGTCCCTCGCGGTCCTCCCTTATATCACTGATGGCTCTTCTTGCGAGCAGCTATTTCTCCTGCCCTGAAGACAGAGGCAGAAAATTTCTCCGAAACGTTGGTGTCTACATGGTGTCAACTGCGAAAGTTGTCTCAAGTGGTGGTAACGCGTCTAATTTTATTCAAGAGATGTCCGGTTCGAATCTCGACTGAGACATCAACTATACTGACAGGGGTTTCTCGTGATTTTCTTTAGTCTCTTCAAACGAACGTCGAGGTAGTAGCTTAAATTTGGCCACGACCGCTTCCTTCCAATCTATTATTTATTACCCAGCCATTTTAGATATTTGTTTTTAAGAACAATTCCAAAACCCTTAACTTGCGGACGTTTTTGTTTGCAAATTTTAAAGTTAGCCTATGTCTTGTTCTGATAAATAAACTGCTAAGACTGGCAGCGCTCACGTGGCGGAGAAGTAAAAGTAAATTTGTCCCTGTGCTTAATTAACTCAACACTATGTCATGAAGACGTATTGGGGAGTGGAGATTTAACTCCACCACTTCGACATTAAATGGAGGTGAGTGGTCAGCTTAACCCCCAGATGCTCATTGGATAGGAGGCTGGGTGGGGCCTAGAACGGCCTAGACGACGTTGAGAGAACCGGGATTCTAACCCCGACCCTTCTGCCGCCCAGCCAGTCGCCAGACGCTATAAACATAATTCTGTCCGTGACGTGTAGTTGTAACGCAGATTGGGGGCTCGAACTTGGCGCCGTCTCAGTGTTGTGCTGTGTTGCAGGGCCCGGGGGCTCCTGCTACGCGGGTGGCGCTCACTTCCAGACGGCCACAGGCAGCTCGGCGCGTGCAGATCCGAAGACTCTGGCTGACGGTGCGTGTCCCCAGCCACGGCGCGCACACCTTCCGCGCAGGCGCGAAGTACATTGCTCAGGTTAAAGGGAGCTAAAGAACGGCAAAGTGAACAAGTGCTGTCGTCTTGGATGTGACGCCGTGTAGTCTGGTATATGTATATGTACTAAACTACTCGGCGTCATGTCACACAAGACTGTAGTCATTCTAGTTACCGCTGTGAGGGCTTCAGGACAAGCCGCTCAGTGTCTTCAGTGCAGGAGGGTGCCGTGGGGCGGGAATATAGCTAAGACGGCGGGGGGGATGACAGACTAATTCGTAATTTTGGTTGCGAAACCTTGTGGATCAGGGGTACTTTGGGGCCCCGAGAAGGACATGGAAGGATTATATTAAGACTCATCAAAGAGGAGTTATTCCTGACGATATATGTTGTATTCACTTGGCGACGGGGCTTATGCCGTGGTGAATTTTGGTATTTGGTGTTCTGGTTTCATGATATGTGACCTCTCTGACTGCGTTACCGGGGTGTGGGGATCAGGCTCACCCCACTCTTGTTGTTATTATTATTATTATTATTATTGGTGACCGCCTCTATGGTCTAGTGGTCAGTGTTCCTCGCTACAGTTCCAGAGGTGCCGGGTTTGATTCCAGGCGCTACCCTGAGAAGTAGTGGGTCTAGAACGGGGTCCACTGAGCCTCGTGAGGATAACTGAGGAGCTATTTGAAGGAAGTAGCGGCTCCGGTCTAGAAATCCGAAATTAACGGCCGTGGGAATTCGTTGCGCTAGCCACGCAACACCCTCTACCCGCTAAATTTGGCATTAACTTCGCCGACAAGCGGCGGTCGCTCGGTCGGTATAGTTGGCTTGAGGACTACAGGCCACGGAGTTTTCTTATTAGTGCGCCTATATTTTATGGAAGAACTGGCGCGGAGCGAACTCCATGTGACAAGGCAGTCACCGCTGGCTCACGTTGCTGTAGATCTGCGACCAGCAAGTGATGTGCTGATTATTGTGTTGCTAACAGAGTACATAAAGCGAGACAGCGGGGCTGGGACCCCCGGTACTGGCGGGAGCAGTAGACCTCCTTCAACGTCCTCCGTCACTTCCGGATGCTGGGGCGGAGACGTAAGTTCCGGCGGGACGGGCTACCAGCAGCGTCGCGGTTCGCTGCAGCTCTGGCAGTTCCTGGTGGCGCTTCTAGACGACCCCAGCAACAGTTCATGCATCTCGTGGACGGGGCGGGGCATGGAGTTCAAACTGGTGGAGCCGGAAGAGGTGAGTCGTTGCTAGGATACCCTGTGTTCGGTGTCGACTGTACAGATAGTCGTGAGAGGACAGGAGTGTACAACGAAGCTGTCAGCTGGCGCCCAAATCCCCACGGAGCAAAACTAGTCTCGAACTTAGACCGTCTTACAAATTTCGATTAATAGCCATTATAAGTTTCGGGCAGGAAGGCAAAGAAAATGTTTCAACTTTGCTACAGAGCTACCTGAATTGCTGAAATGTTTAGCGTTGTTCCCAAACTGGTGATAGTCTCTGTTCTGTGGTATATACCCCTACGTACTCACATTTCGGGGCTACGTTATGCCTCCATCAACAAGATCGGAGACTGAAGGTATGATTATTTACACTCTAAATTCAACATTGCAGCAGACAATTTCCCGTTTAAATTTAAGAAGCATTTACACTATACTGAAGCCACAGAACAATGACTCACAGATCGACCATCTTACGAATTGTTACACTCCCACCTCCGGCGTATTCCCATATTGTTGCTGTTATGATCGGCTATTTATTGGATATTTGCAGATCGTGACTACAAGTAACTATAGCACTATCGCTAATTGACACATTCTGCAGTTCACTACAACACGTGCTAAGTCTACTCAGTCTGCTGTCTTCACCAGTCGTTGCCTGGTGACGGATCCCAACAATGTCATCTTCCGTGTTCACGTTCTTACCGGCTAGAGACTGTCTCACAACTAATTCAATGCACCAACCAGCTCACACCACTCCACTAAATGTCTGCAGACTGACCATTCCCTCGGCTTCTCTAGACTGCCCTGCTTATAACAGCTCGGCACGGACAGCACAGGAAACACCGCTACTCTGTTGCAATTTACGGACTGTTACCTAGTAACGGCCGTTGTCTAATCGTTTGTTTCGTGGTCATTATCTGTCAATGGGTATATATGCTATAATACGTCGCCTTCCAGTCATTTAGCCGCTCTGTTCATGCGAGTCTTTGCAGTGATAGCCACGTGACAATCTGTGCTAGCGACAGAAGGGGCTGGAAGGGATGTAACGTTAGACGAGGAAGCCTCATCCCCACCTTCCCTGGGACATCTTTCTTTGGCTTCAATATAGCATTCGGTAATTAAAGGAAATTTGTTGGCGAAATCCATGTTTCGGGAAGGGAAATTCTTGAGCAATTGCCTCGGCTTCACACACCAAGGTATACATATGTACCGGAAGCCTGTCATAGCGAGATATCTCGTGCACAGCATCGACAGTGTTAAGATGGTTCATCTGTTGCAGGTGGCCCGACGCTGGGGTGTACAGAAGAACCGGCCCGCCATGAACTATGACAAGCTGAGTCGCTCGTTACGCTACTACTATGAGAAAGGCATCATGCAGAAGGTGGCGGGTGAGTACCTTTTTCCGTGTCATTTTCGTCTTAAATATAACATATAACATGGCGTCTCTGCGAAATTCAGATTCTATCCTAGTAAGGATGAAAATGACGTAAGTAATGTCAAATTTGACGATCTAACTGCAATAAATTCAGAGATTGCAGTCTCTTGGCATGTGACGCCGTGTAGTTTCATATATGGATACTGTCAAGGTGTAGATATTTTCTCCGAAACTTTTGTACCTAATATACCAAATTACACTGATCTTCCTCGAACAAAGAGATCTGGCAGGCCTACTGACGCACCGAATGGTGTCCACTGTCGCGCACACCGGGTGAGTCTCCGCCCAGGGGTCGACACACAGACAAGTCTGCTACGTGCAGGAATAGTGAGGCAAGGCGAACCACTTCCGGGAAGGCTGCTGCCTCATGTCTGAGATGGAAGTTGTGTTACTGTTTGCTCAGTTAGTCGCGTATTGTTTTAATATTAGCTTTATTACCGCCCTAAGCTTTTGTACTGACCAGAACAGCTGAGTCAGTGAACTTGTATCGGATTGTCTTTGCTAAGACGTCGAAACCACGCCTTTGGCCAACCAATGTGTGCCTTGGGCTATGTTCCTAGGGGTAAGGCGGCCGGAGATAAGAGCTGGGCAATGATCTCCATCTACTGCCATACTCTCACGCCTTCTTGGCTTCAAGTGCACCTTAACCCACACGTTTTCATGTGCTGTATACAGCATGTCCCAAAAAATCCCTAAATTTGGGTGTTTAAGGCTTTTGCCATTATTACTGTCGAAAGGTGACTGAGGCACCGCGAGAGATGCATTGTTGTGGAGCCATCTAATTGTTTGGCTAGTTTTAGCCGTATCGAGCATCCGGTACATTTCGTTTGTGCATGTGAAGTGGCTTCCGTGAATTAGTCTCTCTGCATGGGGCTGCCTGTTGATGTAGAAGGAAAGAAACCCGTGTTTCAGTGTCAATGTCCTGGTGTAATTCGGTTAAATGTCTGCGCAATCCACGGGTCCGTAAAAATTCGCCATTTTGGTAGTGATTTGAATGTTTTCCGCAGGGGAGCGCTACGTGTACAAGTTTGTCTGCGACCCGGAGGCTCTGTTCAACATGGCGGCCTACAGTGGCGCCGGATCGGAGGGCAACAGCAGTCACGGTCTCCACCACACGCGAGGCAGTGCCCCATCGGTGTCCAGTGGGGCGGATTCGTCGTACGGTGACATGCTGGCCATGTATAGTGGTGCCGGTGGCCCAGTCGGGAGCTACACCCCGCTGCACCACTTCCAGCAGTACCTTGCGACCGGTGGGCCGCCCAGCAGTGAACAAGGGGGTATCTTCCGGTCACCTGCAGGGTCCCGCTCGGCGTACCTCCACCAGTACCCCAGCAATAACAACACTGACCTCGAGACAACCTGCGCGCGCAGCAGTGTGCAAGACCTGTCGATAGATGGCAGCATGTCACAGAAGCCTAGTTACCTAGATGGCAGCAAAACCTGTGACGATGCTGCTCAGAACTCTAATGTACGAGGTCAAACTGCAGATAGCAGCACTAGCAAACTGGCGCCCGGCCGCGGGAGCTCACAAGATAATGCAGCCCCCCACAAGCTTGACTCGCCGGCGTTCCATTGTCTCGGTGTAGACAGCTGTGTATGTTGAGGTGTCATGCGTCTTTTGACTTCTTTCGCTCATGTTAGGTGATCCGCCGGCCAGCACCTCCTCTTGGGGATCACCTGTCGGCCAAACTTCCGAAGGGGAGAGGCCTTCACAAGATATTTTTAGAAGAAGAAGAAGAAATGGCGAATTTTCTTTTTCAACAGCTAAGATGACAAAGTGCCTTGAATAGTATCGTATTCTATTCCGCAACGTTGTGTACTTCGGAGACAACCCGACGTTTCGAGGGAACATGTCGCCTCCATCTTCATATTTACTCAATACTCTGAAGATGGGGGCGACATGTTCTCCGAAACGTCGGAATTTCTCGGAACTACTGTACAAGGCGTCAGAACCCAGAATACACTACTTTTCATAGTCACCGCCGTGAAAACCCCTGATCCAAAGTGGATGATCCAGTACTGTGGATTTATTACCTTCTCTTTTGCCCCTGAGTGATGACAACCCTCTATACACGACGATACATCACTGTCTTACAGGGTAAAAGGAAAATTTAACGTTGTCCCTGTGCTTAACTAATGAAGCACTACGCCATGAAGGTGTATGGGGGAATGGATGTATAGATCCACATTTTCTTGACCTCGGTACTAGTGGTACCGAGCGGTCCGCTTCATGACCCGGCCGCTTTAACCCCCGGTACCCATTGGATAGGAGGTTGGGTGGACCTCAGAGCCGGTCTGGACGACATGGAGAAGAGAAAATTCTTGACCCTACCGGGACTCGAACTCCGACCCCTTGGTCGTCCAGCCCATAGCCAGTCGCTATACCGACCGCGCTATCCCGGCTCCATCCGTCTTACAGGGTCGCCAACATTTCTTATTTCCCGAGGTTTGAAATGAATCGCTCTTTTAGTTAGTCTAATTCCACCATTTGCACGCGGACTAGAGCTATAGCATTAGCTGCACCAGTTTACCCTACTCTTTTACTGGGCTCTAACGCTTCGATTCTCTTAACGTACATCCAGCAGAAGTTTCGTTTCCAGTTAGTGAACACTTGTCGAAATCACCAGCAGAATTCGCATAGTTCGAACATCGTAATGCGCAAATCTCCCTTCTCTTTAGCCCCATACATCCCGCCAAGTCCAATTTCATGTTTCGCTGACACGTATACGGTCAGGTGATTTCCGGACACGACTGGCGTGCCCGCCACCAGGGCGGCGTTAGTGTGCCCCAAGCGGAGGTGACGTGCCAGTGACGTATTTATTGCATGTAATGACGTTATTTCTTGTTGTTGATACAATGTAGTTAGCTGAGGGCGCAGAATAAAATCCTGTTTCTGGAAACGGTTGCTTACAGTTGTTGGTTGAATCATTCTTTGGCTATTTAATGACGCTGTTTCACCTTCAGACGTTTTAGTGTCGAATGAGATGAGAAGACAGCCATGAATAGTCAGTGGTTCTGGATATTGGGAACTACTTCAAGTTCGTCCTATAGTCCTGTTGTCATGGCAATGGTTACAATCGCCTGGGATGTGACGCCGTATATACTGTGAGGTCGTTACCAGCGTTTCGAAGAAAAGTGCCCAGAAGGTTGGCCAGACTATACGGCGTGACTGTGACGTTTACAGTTAGCGCCATGAGAACTTAAACTCTCGCGTAGACCAATCATGGTATTTTCTTGACGCTACTGACATATTAAAGCACTGCTTCAACATTAAAAATAACCCCAATTTTGCCTACAGAGTGTCTTTATGTGTTCCTTATGTGTCTCACAACAAATCAATGAATAACTCCCCAAACAGCAGCTTTCAAGCCAAAGTCACGTTACGACCGACGGTCAGTCGGCCAGTCTGTCTTGGTGTCAAGCCCCATCTGGGACCCAACACCAGATTTTTATTAGTCAGACAGTTTCGGGTTGGTTGATGTGGGGCGCCCTCTCTGACGAAAAGACGGATCTGTCGTTTAAAACTGGACGAACTGTCTTGCGTCTAATGGGCCTATATAAAATGGCAGATGTCGACTGACTTCCTGTTTCCCGCCTCGATCCTGAAAGGGCGTAACATTCACCGCACAGAAGGTAAAGCTGTCTGTGCGTAATTAAGCACCATGTCATCAAGACGTTCGGGGGGTGGGTGGAGTTATAGCTCCACCCTTCTTGTCCTCGAAACTGGATGGGAGTGGTCAGCTTCACGTTCCCTGCCGTTTTACCTCTGGGGAGACAGCCCTCGGCACCCGTTGCATAGGAGGGCCATACTTGGACAATGTGCACGGCAAGCAATGTTGAGCGATGTGAAATTGGATGTGACTCGAGTCATCATCTACAGTTCTTGTTAATTTCACGAATAGGTCTCACGTTTTAATTTCTTATTTTATTTAATAGCAGTTTATTTAACGACGATCTTAGTAACTTGGATTATAGTGAATTGGAAGGGGTATGGAAGGAAGTGGCCGTCACCTAACATAAAGCATTACCCAGATATTTGCCGCCAAGGACTGAAGAAAACCTGGCCGATGTTCGAACCGTCACTTCCCGAGTGAAAGTCACAATCGTTACCATTTGAGCCAGTTTGCTAGCTTTGGGTGTTTAAAGCAACAGTTGCTGTGATGCTGGCATGAAAAGCGACCTCATCCCGGACGAAGAACGGGTATTCCTGCTTATTTCTAATAACCAGAGAACGTTTAAAGTGGAAATGGAGAGGCAACATGAGAAATAAGTAAAGAATACTCTACTTAATTATTTATTATTATTATTATTATTATTATTATTGTAGCCTCTGCTCCTTAGCGTCTTTACCGTAATTTATTTGAGAAGGAACATTCTTGTTACACGTGAGAAAAATTAAACCCAAACGTAACTAACTACACGGAGCAGAGACATTCTTGAGAAGCTAACAGTTGCTCAGCCTCTTTTGGAACCTAAGTTTCATTACCACGTCCACAACAGCCTATCACTGGTGTCTGTCTCAGTCAGTGTCTCTGTCACTGTCTCAGTGGTCAGAACAAGCGTTCAGTATCAGCAGAACTGCCTTTTTCGTCTCTTTCTGTTGTCCTTCGAATTTGAAGCCCGTAGCTAAGAGCTTGAGAACAGTTTCCATGAAACATCTATCACAGATGATGCTGTTATCGAAAATAATTTTGTAGTACAGTTTCATTCATTTATTTAGTTTCAGTGTCCTGAAGAGTGAGGTGGTACCTTTCTGCGAAACGTCGCTGTCTGACTACCACATGTATTGTACTACATGAAGACACAGAGCACATGAAATTTTGTGCAACCTGTGGCGCGCCGCTTGCGGCACGAGCCACACTAGTTGTTGCTATTGTCTTGTGACGTAGTTCTCCGATTTCGTCACCAGAGGCATTGCATGACATAACTGCGAATAATAACCCGAGAATGTGTGGGTTCCCGGCATGAGGTCGGCTCTATACATCGACACAAGTCAGAATTACGTATGTGATGGGGGTGGGGGGACTGCGATGTTTGGGAAGCCGAAAAGCCCTCAAGGTAGCGCAGACATGCGCACACGTAGAGGCCTGTTTTGCATGGCTGTGCATGGCTACAGCAAGGCGCGCCTGTCACAATGACTGTTTTTTAGCACATAGGGGAAAAATTATAGATTTTCTAAAAATTAATTTTAGGAATATAATTTAGCTGAGAATGTCAATGCATATGTGGTTCCTGGGGTTGAATTAATTATTTTAAATTTAAGTAATTATAAACAGTGAACTGGATATAAATGAATTTGAAGCGTGCTGTTTATCATGCCGGGACAGCTCAGTAGGTTCAGTGACTAGACTATGGGTTGGAGAACCGGAGAGTCGCGGTTCGAATCCCGGTATGTCTCATCTCCACTCCTACCAGACCGCCTCTGCAGTTCACCTCTATCCAATGGGTACTGATGTTTTCAGCATGCACAATACTAGCCTCAGTAATTGCCTCGCCTTGTCTTCGTCGAAGCATTATGTATTGCGATGTATAAGCATCTAGGAGAAGCTATCTGCACCGAGGGGGATTCCCCCCTGCCTGGGACCGTTAAAACATTTTAAAAAACGAAGGAACTTTACAAATTATTAATACAAAAAATTAAAAAAAAAAATTATTTTATTGTTATCTCCTGAACACTCCTGAGTGATCAGCAGGGGCGGTGCGTCATTAGGGGCTAAAGGGGCTAAGCCCCACCTGATTTTGTTGTAGTACTGAATTTTCATATTCATTCATATTTTATTCTCTTTATTGAGAGCAATTTTGTATCAAAATATTAATATGTCTCGTTATTATGATGTAATTAAGGAGACACGAAAATGCAGTAGTGATGTCTTGGCCATAACACAGCTTATTTGTACGGTTACAATAACGCAGGGGCTAGCTCGTCCCTAGCCCTTACTGTGTATCGTTAGCAGCCTTAAGTTCAGTGAACCTTTCAGGGATTTTAAGTATCGCATGCGTCTTGAAATGTCACGCTTTGGGCTAGGTTTGACAAGCCCGCAATATAAAAGAACACAAGGCTGAAATGGACGGGTGGAGTGTGGATGTTATTGTGAACTTTCCTCTATTCTTCCAGCCTTAAGTAACACGTGCTTTGTAAGAATAGACAGACACCATTCAGATTCCATGTGTTTTGAGCAGTGGAGAAGATACAAGTTCGGGAATAAAGTAATTTTAGCGTAGGCCTAAATTAAAATTCTTTTTCAAGTGTAATTTCCAAATTAGGTTTTAGGTTAATATTGTATTCGTATTAGAATTAGTGATTAATATGAATAGGGTGGACGCCCTTCTAAAATCACCGTTCTCAACTTTGAGTTTAGAAGAGAAATTACAAGTAAATCTCTTGACGCGTTCAACCAACAGATTACAAACTTGATCAGAACTGCAAGACTCAGAAAAGAACGTTTCCGTTATCTTGGTTTCACAAGAAGAAATGGCTGACTATAAGTGAAGAAAAGAAATCAATTTTTTGTTCTGTGTGTTTATTGTTTGGTGGGAAACGAGTTGGACTGTGACAGGTATAACTAACCTTAAACATTTGTCAGAAAGAGTTAGAAAACACGAAGCATGCAAAGGCATATTGAAAATGATGTCAAAGTTAATCTCTTTGCAATATTATATTTAAGCATCCTGTTGCACTCTACACGATAAATGATACAAACTCCGTCCTAAGTGCAAACAATATATATTATATGTCCTTGATCTTGTTCTTTCTACACTACATGTTTCGGCCTCTATCGGCCATCATCAGGTGTATACTCTCAACGTTGCTGCCACACTGAACTCAGTCCAAAATTTAACATTCAAAAACACAATGTCACATTCTTCGTATTATCAACATCTACATCGTTGATATGTGTCTGGTATGTAGATTATGTTGCACACGTCAAATCTGATATTCTTGTAGTAGCACTCTAAAAATCTTTAGTTA